GCCCATATTTGTAACAAGGTATGGAGGAAGATCGAGATCCCTTCAATGTGCAGTCAAGATAAATTATAGATTCCTATCTAGGCAAGCCTCATCTGAGTTAATAAGACAGGAGAATAATAGTAGGGATCTTGGTAATGTACGGGAACAGCACCAAAACAATTTAAAAGAAATATACTCCCCCAACTCTGTACAAGAGATAATTATTTGGTTAAAAAGAGTCCACTACATATATTAATTAATAAGTATTAAACATTATTATGTGTGAATAAAAATTTTTATTAAAGTATACTATGGAATCTAGTTTTTAAAGATTTCTTTGATGTAATTATATAATAGCATAAGTGGTCATTAACGTTTTTGCCTTATGTGACCATGAAACACTATTCTTTTTGTAAATTTTCAATTATTTCTTTAGCATTCAAAATAAAACAAATGAAACTTTTAGTTTAAAATAGAGTTTATTATATATCAAAACAAACTTAATACATCAAAAAAACTTTTCTTGTCAGTATTGGCACATAATTAAGACAGTTAAAAGCAACGCTAAATTAATACTTCAAATTTAAAAAATTTTAGATCATGTTCCATAAAAAAATAAACACTAGTAGTGTTATCAAAGTATTAATTTACACTAACTTATGTTATCAAAGTGTTAAAAAAAGAAGTGCATGCTCAAATAGAGGAAGTAAACATTCAATCATAGGTAAAAGTGTTCATTTGAACAAAGCATAACAGAAGGTATAAAATACACAAAACCAACCTAATTTACATTGGGAAGTGCTTCAGGTTAGGTAATTAGAATTTAGATACTAAAAATAAAAATATCCATATCAAAAAGAATGAAAACCTTGTTTACAGTGGTTGTTCTCTAATCAAAGAATCATTTGACTGTTCAATTGTCTACATTTCTCCCCTGTAACTACTGACACTGGGAAAATATCATGAGGATGGTGCAGGATAGCAAAGGTTCCAATCTACTGTTCACAGGGGTGCTACAAGTCCAGGCTGACTAGATGGCACCTAACATCAAAACAACATGGTGGCTTAGTGGTAAAGAGCTGTGCTGCCAACCCAAATGCAGGCAGTTCTAACCCACTAGTTGCTCCGCGGGAGAAAGATGGACAGTCTCTTTCTGTGTGATTTACTGCCTCTGAAAACCCATTGGAGGGTCGGCTATGAGTTGCTTTTCTGACTTGATGGTATAAATAAACATCATCAATTTAGCTCAAACCAGAAATGTGTTATATAACTTATTTTGTACATAAACTCAAAAAACTCCCTACCGCTGGGTAGGAATCTATCTAGAGATGACCTTTAAGTGGGTTGCCAGAATCTGTACATTACCTTGAAGGAGACTGCCCGTCTTTCCCCTGCAGAGCAGCTGGTGGATTTAGAACCAACAGAGAAGTTCCACCTTTACCTTAGCAGTGCAACTCCCTAAGACCACACCACTCTGTATATAAGAACATTCCCTTCCCCCCATTGTCTAACAAGTAATGCTACCTAGCAACAACAATGGTAAAAAGTAATTTTCAAAATTTAGGGTCTTTACTGTGAAATGGCCCACATAAGCTTTGTTATGTATCTTTTCACTTTGTAGATTTGGTAACATAGGTAGACTACGACTATTAAGGTATATCAAATTCCAAAGCTGAGTAATTTCTCTCAGAACTCTTGGATTGAGAATATCTTTTTTTCTAGGAAGCATAACGTGATCTATGTTTTAATTTTTATTTTATTTTCATTATCATCATCCAATCCCTTTAGAATGATCTTTTTTGGTAAATAAAAATAACCAACCCTCTAACACAACAACAAATGAATAAGAAGCCAAACCTGTTGCTGTTGAGTAGATTCCAACTAATTAGTGACCATATAGGACTGGATAGAACTGCCTGGTCTTTCTCCCAAGGAGTGGCTGCTACTGTCAACCTTTTGGTTAGCAGCTTAGAGCTTAACCACTATGCCACAAGAGATCCTGTCTAAGGTAAACAGGAAATGAAAAAAAATTTAACTGCAGAATTGATTACCTGATATAATCTTGAATAAACTCAAGTTGTTTCCTTGTTGACTGGAAAAAAAAAAAAAGTCTTTCAATCTGGTATATTCCACTAAAGGAAATTCTTGTTTTTGAAATCTCACTGGCTATGATCAAGATGAAATTTTAGACACCAACTTTAGATAAATTGGTGCAAATTTTTTCAGTCAAATATAAAAATTATTTTTTACTAATATCTAAAGCAAAAATTAAAATGGCACAAAAAACCCAGAAAGTGCATTTGTATTTACTATAAATGTATCATTTCCATGAAATTTCTATAGACATAGAACACTGTCTCATGTATGCATCTCAACAGTGGAAGGTTTAGAAAAGAATTTTCTTCCTTCAAAAGAAAAACAAATTGTAGATCTTACAAAAAAGGAGTTGCTAATAGAAAAAAAAGTAATACTTTATTACAAACTACAAGAAAATATTGAGTCCTTGTGTAGTGAAAATGGTTAAAGGGGTACTTAGTGTGGCTGCTAAGTAAATGCGCAAAGGTTTTTGTCCACCTAGAGATAACTCAGAGGGTGATCTATTTTGAAAAACAACACTGAAAACCCACAGACTACGAGTCTCTCGATCAGACATAAATAGGGTTACTATGAATCAGAATGGAATTGATAAAAACTGTTGAAGAACATTTGTATAAAAAAGAAAACGCTCAACAATAATATATTAAAATATCAAAGTTTTTCCCCTTCAGAATTGAGTATTTTGATTTTTGCTCAATTATGTAGATGTGAAAAGTTTCCATTAATTTGAAATATTTAATGACTTCTATTTGATAAGCTACAGAAAGTTCATAGGTGACTTCTAACAAAGAATAATACAAATTGGTTTATTTTGGCAAAAAGTATTACTAAGTACCGCATATCTTAGTATTTTTAGCAAATGTCTGGAGGAAAAAGTTGTAGAAGAAGAGGAAATGAAGAAATGATAGTACCTTTTGAAGATGTATTTTTACCTTTATCTTCACTTTGATTTCCAAAATAAAGTATTTCTGTACTTTAATTTCTCTAAGTAACTCTTTTCAGTTAGGTTGCTAAAAAGATTGTTTAAGGACAATATAAAGTTGACATTGGTGATAGAAAGCTTACCAATTCCATTTTTATTTCTCTTTATTGAGTACGATTTTAATGGTAAATGAGAGCTTACCCACTACGCCACAAGAGATCCTTTCTGAGCAAACAGGAAATGAAAAAAAAATTTAACTGTAGAATTGGTTACTTGACATAATTTACCTTTTATAATTTATGGCTGACTATAATAGAAACTACATGAAAGAACTCACGTTTCAAATTTCTAGTTATATCAAATAATTCACTTATCTGAAGCAAGATCTATATTGAGAAATTAAAATATTTTAAATTATTTTTCCAGTAGTAAATAAAATTATTATGAGATAATTTACTATTGTAATGTAGTTGGGTGGAAAAGTAAAGCAAAGAAAGATATTCTAGCAATTTAAAAAATACTCTTTCTAAAAGGTGGTTGAGGCTTTTTAATATCATATTGCTAAGATGGTAGGTAGGTAATTAACTAAATTTGCTATAATTTGGCAAATATCTTATTGACGTTATAAATGAAAATATAGTCCAAGCTTTAACATGGCATTCAATTTCTTCTTACTTCTACAAGAGTCTGATAAGTAAATTTGATTCTTTAGAAGAAATTAAGACTTGATATTATGAAATCAAGATTAACCCTTATTTGTCATATAAATCATCTGTCATTTGTCTACCAGGAACCGAAGTGAACTAGGTAGAAACATGGGTTGTCAAAAAAAGCTTCTCTATTACAATATACTTAGCAAAAGTTAACAAATCACAGCATCTCAAATGCTAAATTTAGTTCAAACACTAAAGACTTGATTTATTTTCAAAGATAATACTTGTATCTTCTAATAAGGTTAACTAGTTTTAAAATGATAGATCACAGTTTGTTAACATATTCTGTACAATATTTACAGAAAAATCTTGCTGGCTATGTAATCACTTGTCATTTGAAAAGTTAAGTTGACCTATAATTCCCAAAAATAAGTTAAAGGTCATATCTAAGACAACATTAAATTTTTTGAGTGGGAATACAGATGAATGAGTCCAACCTATTCATTTGACAGATGAGAAAACAGAGTCTTCAGCAAAGGAAAATTATTCAAGTTTTTTCATGCATTCTAATAAAAGTAAGGCTAACATATAGTCTCCTGACTTTTGTCTTCAATTCACTCTTCTGGCCACAGCTTATATATTTAGTAAATCATCCTACACTGATATGGCAAAAAAAATTAATAGTGATTACCTACAGGGACAGGAGAATGGGAGCGGGGTAGGAGTGAGAAAAGAGGGTAAGTGGATTAAATGTCATGACTTAAACAGTGACTCACAGACTTTAATATTTAAATTGATAAGTAATATTTTTTTAAAAGGTCAAGACCTGACAGCAACAGGGTTAAATGTCAAGAATCTTATAGTAAAATTGAACATTATTACAGAAATTTAAGCTAATTTTTCAAGGAAATGGCAGACCACTGAAAACTTTATGTGCCAGATTTTGTATCCTCTTAATAAGTAGTTCTATGGATTATATGTTTCACTATATCTTGACATAGTTTCTAATATAATGCATATGCAACCCAAAATAACATTGATTTCAATTTTAAGAAGAACCAGGATTTTTATCTTAAACTATAAAAATATATATTTATATCTATCCTCAAATATTTTTAAGCTCTAAAATGAAAGGTAGGTCCAATTTTCATTAACACTGTTGAGATGCCACCTTCTTGTAGGTTCTTATATAACTTTAAGAATATTTCTAAAGAGCAGATATATTTGCATAATTCTTAAACCATTAAATTGGTTCAAAAATCTGCTCTGACAGAAATAATTTAATCTGTTTGAGTTAAAAGAAAAAAGGTCATCCAGAAAAGACTAAGGGTGAATTCAAGACATTTTTTAGAAAAATATACTGTATATATGCTGAAAATTATACAAACTATATGCTTTTATTTAATGTGAAGGCACAATTATAGTTAAAAGCAATGCATTTTAATTATTGATGTTGTAATCTGCCAGTACCAGTTCTTAAAAATATCTATTTGCAAGCACTTTATTGAAGATTCTCCAGATTGTCGATTCAAAAGTTGATTTTAAAAGTCTATGTGTAGAAAATGAATGAAAAATTACTGCAGGTCCACATAATACTACTGTTGGATAGTATGTTCCTCAGAATTCACTTGATTTTCATTTGTTGTATAGTCCAGGTGGTCCATCATCTAAATAGAAATAACAGTTATCAGGAAACAAAAATTTTCAATTTGCCCCAGTATCAACAAATTTGACCAAAGGATTACTATTAAGTACCAATAAAACAAAGAGCCCTCCAGGAGGTGGTTAGGGTGACAATGAACCTTTCTGGAAGACGAATAATGTAACTGCATCTCTAGTGGTCTAGTGGTAAGGAGTGGTGCTGCCAACCCAAAGGCAAGAGGTTTTAATCTCCCAGATGCTCTGAGGATGTGTGATGCACTGCCTCTGAAAACCAGTTGAAGGGTCAGCTATGAGACTGTTTGGATTCGGCAGCACTAAATAACAATCTTGTGACTACTGGCCAATTATGGAAAGTGCTTTCTTTGGATCTCACATTATTTCCAGTTTCGAATACCAACACTACAGGAGATGGTATGGACGCTCTACCACAAAAGGAAAACTTTTCTTACCATTATTCTAAGCATTTAAAATGTCTAGGTTTGAGCGTAGACCCTAAAGAGGTGGAAAATCCAGGAATGGCTTCACAAATCATTGTGAGACTATTTACTTCACTATGGTGCTCTCTGAGGGAGTGTGAAATTTTGAATTGATCATAAGGATATTATTTACGAATGATCCATATAACTTTAGAAATATTATGGACAAATGCTTTACTTAAAAACATCCCCTATACTTGAGAATACTTAAAGGTTAAATGACATCTGAAAACAAAACCAAGAATGCTAAAGGCCATTTTCTTTCTTCCATTATCAACTACTATGTGATTTTTAGTACCAGAAATAACAATAATACCAAAAATAAACAATACTAAAAACATAAATTGGAGTCTAAGAAAATAGTTTTTTAAAGCATTATTCAATTAGAGTTGTATACAGTCATTCTTACCCATAGCAGTCAAGCATTATTTTTCAAAGAATAGATAAGGTAAAAAGCACAAACAGCATATGAGGTCAAAGGAGGTAGCATGCAAATAGCTGAGAAATCAAAGTCTCACTTTAAGAGGGATAGGATAAGACTTAGGCTTTCCTCCCCACCTCCTATTAGGAAATACTTAAAGCCTGAATGTGAAAGAAATAGATTTCTTTGCTATTAAAACTTTAAATTTTAAAATGACCCTGTTATAGTAATATGATCTAGTAATTGAACAACATTCCCTCTTCCCTTTTGTTGCATGCTTTTGTTTTACCAATTTGAAGACCATTTTAGAGGAACTGTCAACTAAAGGCTTCTACACATAATTACTTTTAGCTTTGGCCATATTTCTAAGGAAATTATTTTCATATTTGAAAAAAGGAAGAAAAGGTTATTTAACTACTTTTAGTGGTTTAATCTGTTCATCAGATAAAATTACTTAAGAAGCAAAAAATGTATTTCATGTTCTTATGAAGATTGTCAAAGATTTTCATTTGAGCATTGTGATGCCATTTTCTCCCTCTCTTTTGTTGAGAACTGAAAGAGAGACTAACAAGATACATTTTCCTACTTTTATCAAGTGATTCTGAAAGTTTAAATACTTATTTAGAGGAGGAAGAAGAGAAAGAACAGTTTCCATAGTATGTGGATTTGCTAGACAAGAATATGACAGAGTTGAAGTTTGCAGCCAACTATGGTTTCAAGTAATGAAGCAACTAACAAAACCCCTAAGTTCTAATACTTTAGGAGGACTCCAAGAACCACTCAGTTTTGAGATCCACTTTCCCCTCTCTTCTTGCCAAAGATATCTGTAGATTAAAGTAGTCACAGGTTCACAGGAATTTGGTGGTACCGGGAGAAGTAAATTAACGACAAATAAAACAGTAAGTGAGCCCTGGTGGTGTAATCATGTGTAATCCCGCTCAGGGAACTGAGCGGCTAACCTAAAGGCACTGTCCTGGCAGTTCCAACCCATCAGTGGCTCTGCAGAGGAAAGATGGGCAGTCTCCTGTGTGATTTTCAGTCTCTGAAAACCAGCTAGAAGGACAGCTATGAGTTAGTTCAGACTCCATGGCAATGTAAAAAAAATGATAAATAAGAAAAAGCTGCTGAAGAGTATATTCTAGTCACAATTTAAAAGAGAGAAATTAAGGAGACACATATAAAATATAATTAACTCCCTGCTCTGGATGATGGATGTTATAGGAAAGGAGAACTGAAACATCCTCAACAGAAGAAATGGGAAACCTTTCTCTTCCTCAAGATCCAGAGATACCAGTACTTGAAACCTAATGAAATAATAGTCTATACATCTTCAGTTAGCTCTTGGTACAGATTGGAGAGGTGCACTGTTAACCCAAATGCTACATACTTCCACGGTTCAAATCCACCAGATGTTCTGTAGAAAAAAAGATGGGGAGTCTACTTCTGTTTCCATTTATAGTCATGAAAAGTCAAGAAGATAAGTATGAGTCATAACCAACTTGACAGCAATGAGTCTCAGCTTTGGCTGTATGTTATATATAACATGCTTCCTCTTTCCTGGTCTCTACCTACCTCACTAATACCGTAATCTTATTCCTAAATATAGATTTTTAAAACTCCCTAAAATGGTCAATATAACTTTGGGGACCTAGACATATTTAACTTGTTAGTATTTTAAGAGTAAACATTTGTTTTTCTTTAGTGAATTTGTTACTGATGTTATGTGCCAATGAGTGCACTACAACTCATAATGGCTCTAAGACCACAGATCTGATCTGACCTTACCCTGCACCTTCTTCACAAACTCTGATATGCTCCAGCCATTGTTACAGTCACCGTGTCAATGCATCTTGTTCAAGATATTCTTACCTTTCTGTGACCCTCCACCTTTCACAGCAAGATGTCTTTTCCAAAAAACTGGCCTGTCCTGACAATATGCTTAAGTATGTGAGATAGAGCAGTAAAAAAAAAAAAAAATCATAAAACATAAAAATGTAAACTCAAACTAAGTTTTTTTGTAATATGTATAAAAAGAAATGAACAAAGTCAATAAAATAACTGTGATAACTGGTTTAGGAATTTATAAATGTGGTTGTTACTTGTCATCGAGTTGCAACAATCTCATAGCTGACCTTCCAGCAGGTTGTCAGAGGCTATAAATTACATAGAAAGAGACAGCCCATCATTCTGCCAAGAGTTTATAAATAGATAAGCTCAATTTGAAAAGATGTTCCCTGAAATTGGGTCATATACTTATAACTATGCTTATTTGTAGTTGAACCAACACTAGAAATCGAGTAAAATACTGATTAAGGGAGGTAACTGAAGGATTGTTGATACTAAAGTAGAGAAAGTCATTCTAGGAATCTCTGTATACTAACTCGTCAGTAACAGCTTGTGACTTCTAAAAATAATTAGAAGCACTAGTGACATTTAACAGAGACAAAGTCACTATTTATGGATTTCAACAAACTGTAGACTTACTTATTTTCACGTAGAATAGAACAGCCTTATGGAGAGCACTGCATAAATATAATTATCCCCATAGATGTCAAACTAGACAAGAAATACCCTATAAGAAAACAATATTTCTCCTAAATGTTCTGTATGCCAAATTATGCCACTAATGGCTTATTCTCTTGGGGGATGTGGGAAGGCAAGTTTAGAACTTAGACTTCAAGTAAAAGCAAATAACCAGAACTGAGAGCTGTAGCTCTTGAATCATCCCAGGGAAAAGTTCATAAAACTGTATAACTAGCAAAAAAACCCCTTCCATCTTCAAACAAAATTAAAAAGTTATAACTAGCTCTGGATGTGGAAAATAATACATAACTAAGATTTCTAAATTGAGGTTACTTTAGTAAAATTCTACAGAAATTATTTCTGTGAATCAAAGAAGGTCACAGCAAAAGCTGAAAGATTATAAGTAAAGAAATGGTAAAAGTGTTGTGTTCCTATTTAGTTTCTAGGTTATAGTAACCGACAAAGTATGCTGTCACTGAAAAACCATCTAAGACTCTCAGGACATTTTAAAATCTCCAGTCCAAAGTCCTGCTTCTTATCCCTACTATGTTTGCACTCAACTCTATTATCAAACATTGTAATGAAACAAATGATTAATATGATAACTTGAGATTTGAAAATTTTACTTGTTTTCTATTGGTTTTTTTAAAAGTACCTACAAAAACGACTGCATAATGATTACAGAGACAGAAGTTAAGTCTAAAGTTGTAAAAGTACCTCACTTTTGCAAGCAACAAATGCTGGTAAGGTTGTGGAGAAACTGGAACTGTTGGTGGAAGCGTAAAATGATGCAACCACTGTGGAAGGCAGTGTGGCGCTTTCTCAAAAATTTGCAAATACCATTTGACCCAGCAATTCCACTACTGGCAATATACCCCAAAGAGACCATAACTGCCACCCAAACAGATATATGCACACCCATGTTTATCGCAGCATTGTTCACAATAGCAAGGAGTTGGAAACAACCTATGTGTCCATCAACAAACAAATGAATGGATAGATAAGTTCTGGTATATTTACACAGTGGAATACGACAATGCATTGAAAAACAAGGAATTCATGCAATATTATTCAAAATGGGTGACCCTGGAGGACATTATGCTGAGGGAAATATCTCAGTCACTCAAGGACAAACACTGCATAGTGCCACTGTTATAAAACAGGACTGATATCAGGTGTGGGGAGACTGAGAAGATGGGATAAATAATGTATACTACATTGAAACAGATGAGGGAGAAAACTGTTTAAAAGGGATATATGATTAGGTATTATTGTCATGACAGGAGTCCAGAACGAAAGCTGCATAGTGGAGTAGACCTGGGAGGAAGGATAGTAAAACAATGGGGGAACTTTTCAAAGAAATGAGTGTAGGGGGGGAGGGTTGGGAGAAGAGAAAAGTGCAACAATGAATGAATGGAAATCCAAAGTCCCTGTAAATTTTCATTAAAATTATTTTAAAAAAATATTAAAAAAAAGAAAAAAACAAACAAAAAGTACCTCACTTTTACAATACCACATAAGTACAAACAATGGAATGAGCTTTATACACATGTACAAAATAATTAGAAATATATTAAACTTTAAT